TGTTTAAAACAGATAAACATAATATGGGTTTACTTGAAGTGCCATATATCACATGTTGGTAAACTGTGTTAAGTTAAAGATGTATAATATAAACTCTGAAGCACCATAAAATAACAGAGTCACAGCTAATAAGCCAAACTGACACATGAATTAAAATAGAATTTTATAAAAACATTTGTTTAGGGCGCCTGGGTGGCTCAGTCGGTTAAGCGACTGCCTTCGGCTCAGGTCATGATCCTGGAGTCCCGGGATCGAGTCCCGCATCGGGCTCCCTGCTCGGCAGGGGGTCTTTAAAAAAAACAAAACAAAACAAAAAAAAACATTTGTTTAATCTCGAATTAGGCAAAAAAAGAAAAAAGAGAACAAAGAAAAGATAAAAAGGAAAATGAACAGAAAGGATAGATTCAAACCTAATTATAGTAGTAATTGCATATAATGTCATTGAAAAGGCAGAAAATTTCCAATTTGATTTTTTAAAAAAAAGCAAGACCCAACTATATATGTTGTATAAAAGAAATGTGTTTCAAATATGGACACAAGTAGATTATGAGTTAAAGGATGGGGAAAGATGTATCATATTAACAGTAATCTAAAGAAAGCCGGAGTATGATAGTAGACCAAGTAGATTTGTGAGCAAATATTAGCAGGAATAGAGAAGGTGATTATGTAATGATAGAGTGGTCAATTCATCAAGAATTCAAGCAATTCTTAATGTTTATGAGCCTAATCAAAGAGCTTTAAAATATGTGAAGCAAAAACTTAGACACTACAAGTAGAAATACAGAAATCCACAAATATAGTCAGATATTTTGATACTTTTCTCTTAATAATAGAAGTAGGCAAAAAAACTCAGGATAACATTAATAACATTAACAGCCAACTTGACATGATTGACATTTGTAGAACATTTCACCTATCAAAGAATTCACATTCTTTTTAAAAGCACAGGAAACCCAAAGTAAACCATATTCTGTAAAGCAAGTCTCAGTAAATTTAAAGGATTAAGTCATATAATGGAATTAAATTTTCTGACCATTATGAAATTAAATTAGAACTACATTAATTAAAAACAGATTTCTGAAAAAGCCCCAAACATTTGGAAACTCAATAACAAATTTCTAAGTAACTTGTGTTCAAATAATTTCTTCAGAAGAAAAATTGTAAAGTATTTTGAAGTGGATGAAAATGAAAACACAAGTAACAAAACTTACAGAATATCGCTAAGATAGTACTTAAGGGAAAATGTATATAACCTAATTAGAAAAGAAAAAAGTCTCAAACCAATGACACTTGCCTCTACCTTAATAAACTAGAAACATCAAAGCATATTGATCCCAAAGTAAGTACAAGAATGGAAACAAAGGGGATTAAAACAGAAATCAATGAAGTAGAAATGAGAAAAACAATGGAGGAAGTATAATCAGGTCAAATTTTGAGGAGATTGATAAAATTGCTAAACCTCTAGACAGAGAAAACTACCAATATCAAGAGTTAGAGTTTTGATGTGATGTTTTTATAGATTCCACAAATATTAAAAGGATAGTAAGGTAATGTTATAAACAACTTTATGCCCATAAATCTGACAGCTTCCATGAAATGGGTAAATCCTTCAAAAGACACAAACTCATTTAAGGAAAAAAAAAATGTGTCTAGTAAGTAAATCAAATTTGTACTTAAATATTTTCTGAAAAAAATTCCAGGCCCAAATGGTTTTACTGGAGAACTAAATCAAATATTTAAACAATATCTGACTTTATACAAATTCCTCCAGAAAATTGAAAAAGAGTGTATACTTTCCAACTTATTCTATGAAACTTGCATTATCTTTATATCAAAACTGGACAAAAGACATTGTAAGAAAAGAAAACTATAGACCTATTTTTCTCATGAACATAGATTCAAAAACTATTAACAAAATTCTGGCAAACTGAACCGAATAGTATATTAAAAGGGAAATAAATTATGATCAAGCAAGATTTATCAAAGGAATGCAAGGTTGCTTTAACATTTGAAAGTCAATCGATATAATCCACATATTAATAAACTAAAAATGAAAAAAACCATAATCACAGTAGATGCCAAAAAGCTCCATGATAAAGTGCAACATCTATTCCTCATAAACTAGGAAACTAGGAATAGAAGGGAACTATGAAAATATACAGCTAACACTATACTTAGTGATTATTATGGAATGAATGTGTTTACCCTCCTACTAAATTCATATGTTGAAGCCTTAATGTCCAATGTGATAGTATTAGGAGGTGGAGCCTTAAGGAGATCATTAGGTTTAGATAAGGTCCTGAGGGTTGACCACCATCCCCCTGATGATGGAGATTAGTGTCCTTATAAGAAGGGGAATAAACCAAAGACTTCCCTCAAATTGCCACGTGAGGATACACTGAGAGGGTGATGGTCTGTAATCTGGGAAAGGAACACACCAGACACTGTGTGAAATAAATATTTGTTGTTTAAGCTACCCAAGCTATGATATTTTGTTACAGGAGTCTGAGCAGACTAAGACAATGATGACACATTGAATGACCAGGGGTATAATAAAGATACCTACTTTCAGTACTTCTATATTAACATCATTGTGGATGTTCTAGCTGTTACAATACTGTAAGAAAAAGAAAGAAAAAGCATCCTGATAAGAAAAGTAGAAGTAAAATTGTGTTTATTTGAGGGTGACAACAATTGTCTATACAGAAAATTGAAAACCCACTATAATTTAAAAAATGAGTTTAGGGGCGCCTGGGTGGCTCAGTGGGTTAAGCGTCGGCCTTAGGCTTGGGTCATGATCCCATGGTCCTGGGATCGAGCCCTGCATCTGGCTCAGCGGGGAGCCTGCTTCTCCTCTCCCTCTGTCGTCCCCCTGCTTGTGCTCTCTCTCTCTGTCAAATAAAAAAAAAAAAATCTTAAAAAAAATGAGTTTAGCAAGTTTGTAGGACACAAGATCAACATGCAGGAATTTACAATATTTTTACATACAACCTACAAATAAGCAGAAATTAGTGTCAAAAATAACACTGTTAACAGTATTAAGAAAAAAGAAATACTGTAGAAGAAAAGATCATTATACAAGAAAATATGGTGTTTTTATATACTACCTACAAACAACTAGAAATTGATAATACAAAAATGCCATTAGCAGTAGTATCAAGAAGAAGAAATACTTACGGGTAATATAATGTAAGATGTGAAAGCCCCATTCATAATTACTACAAAATATTCCTGTGCTAAATTAAATACCTAAATTTTAAAATAGAGAGCTATCCCGTGTTCATGGGTTGGAAGACTCAATATTTTTAGAAGTTAATCCTCCCCACATTGATGTATGTATTCAATGTGATCACAATCAAAATCCCAACAAGCTTTCTTTTTAAAAAGATACTATACAAATAACTTAAATTCATACGATATACAAAGGACCTAGAAAAATCAAAAACAATTCTGATGAAGATGTAGAGTAAAAGTGGAGGACCAACCCTATTTGATTTCAAGAGCTATTAGCTAATGTAATAAAGAAAATAACATTGGTGTAAGTATAGACAAATATATCAGTGTAAAGAATAGAGAGTCCAGAAATAGGCCCACATATAAATGGATAATTTATTTTTGATAGGATGCATGGGCAATTTAGTGAAGAACATATAGTCATTTTAACAAATGATGATGGAGCAAATAGACATCTATATGTAGGCAAATGAACTTTGGTCCATATCATGTAGCACATAAAATAGTTAAAATGGATTGTAGATGTGAATATAAAATATAAAGTACCAAGAATATAGGAAAATATTTTGTAAACTTGGATTCAGCAAAGTTTTCTTAGATAATGGCACTAAATACATTATCCATCAAGAAATACATTGACTAGTTGGTCTACATCAAAATAAAATATTTCTGCTCTTTGAAAGACCCTGTTAAGGGAATGAAAAAACAAGCCATAGATTGTGAGGAGATGTTTGAAAATCATATATCTGATGAAAACTTGTTTCCAGAATATATAAAGAACTTTCAATGCTTAATAATAAGAAAATAATCAATAAAAATGGGCAAAAGGTTTGAACAGACGTTTAACCAAATATATACAGATGAGAAATAAGCATATGGAAAGATGACCAACATCATTAGCCATCAGGGAAGGGAATATTAAAAGCCACAATATGAAACTACTATATCCTTGTTAGAATGACTAAAATTAAAAAACGGGGTGCCTGGGTGGCTCAGTTTGTTAGGCATCTGCCTTTGGTTCAGGTCATGATCCCGGGGTCCTGAAATCGAGCCCCACATCCCTGAGCAGGGAGCCTGCTTCTCCCTCTGCACCTCACCCCACTTGTTTTCTCAATCTTTCTCTCTCTCAAATGAATAAATAAAAAATTAAAAAAAAAAAGATTGATTATACTAAGTGTTGGTGAGGAATGTAGAAAGCAACTGAAACTCTTATACACTGCTGATGGTAATATAGAATAGCACAACCAAATTGGAAAAGTGACAGTTTCTCAAAAAGTTACATGAACACCTACTGTATGATCCTACTCCTTAGTATTTACCCAAGAGACATGAAGACATACAACATACAACATACAAAGACCATATAAAGAATAACTGCATGAAAGAAGCCAGACAAAGAAGTGTACATACTGTATGATTCCATTTCTAAGATGCTATAAAATTCAAATTAATGAATAATGGCAGAAAATACATTAGCAGATGCCAGGGGACAGAGGTATTACAAAGGGACACAAGGAAATTTTGGGGGTGATGATTATGTTTGTTAACAAGATTGTGGTGATGGTGGTGATGATTTCACAAGTGTATACATATATAAAAAATTCAAGTTGTATACTTTATTATATATAAGAGTATACTTCAATAAACCTCTTAAAAAGAAATTATATTTCAATAATCATATTTTTATGGATTTCATTGATATTCTGATATATACATTAATAAGAATAATACTGTGGTATAATTACATAAAATCTCTTTTTTTACAGAACAGGACAGTTGGGAAACCTGACAGCTCCTTGCAATTCTCACTGTAGATGCTCATCTTCATTTTATTTTGCTATCTGTGGAAGAGATAATACTGGATATTTTTCTCCTTGCTTTGCAGGCTGTACACAATCCAAAACATTAAATGGTCACCAGGTAATTATATTTTTATTATGCTTCTCCCTCTCTAATAAGATGTTCAGTTTGTAGTTGATATTTACATTTTACTCCTAGCTCTCTATAAAACCCATATATATTTTTTTAAACAGAAAAAGAATATTTGCTTTAGGTGGCCATAATACAAAGGGCTTATGGGAATTGGTGGTGGAAAAAATACTTCTATATTAAAACATGCCTTAATAAGTAAGAAAATTATGAAAGAAAAAAACTCACAGGTAAATAAAAACATAATAAAAGTAGTAGATTAATCAGTTATAAAACCAGGATGGAGATTAAAGCGCAAAAGCAGTAAAATCAATTATATCTATAAAATCAGTCAAGGTATTTACAAAAGGATGCAAAATATAAAACATAAAATGGGGGGGGGCAGAAAAATGTAGTGCTTTTAGAATGGTTTAAAACTTAAGTATCTATCAACTTAACATTGATGACTATATGCGTAGAGTGTTATAGATGAACAAATCAAACACCTAAAATAGATATGCCAAAAATGAAGAGAAAGGAATTCAAGGATATCACTAAAGATAGCCATCAAACCACAAGGGAATGAGTGCAAGAGAAGAAAGGAATGGAGAACTACAAAAACAACCATTAAAAAAAAGTAACAAAATGACAGTAAGTTACAAAAGGAATACCTATCTATAACTACTTTAACTATAAATAGACCACATGCCAAATGAAAGACATAGGATGACTGAATGGATAAAAAAGCAAGACCCATCCATATGTAGCCCTCAAGAGACTCACTTCAGACCTAGAGACATATGCAGATTGAAAGTGAAGGGATAGAAAAACATTTATCATGAAAATGGAAGAGAAAAGAAAGCTAGGTAGCAAGACTTATATCAGACAAAATATACTTTAAAACAAAGACTGTAGCAAGGGACAAAGAAGGACACTTCATAATGATAAAGAGAACAATCCAACAAGAACATAAAACAATTGTAAATATTTATGCATTCAATATGGAAGAACCCAAATACATAAAGCAACTATTAAGACATAAAGGAAGAAATCAATAGTAATACCATAATAGTAGGGGACTTTTACTTACATCAATGGACATATCAGACAAAAAAATCAACAAAGGAAACAGGGGCTTTGAATGACACATTGGAACAGATGGATCTAACAGATATATTCAAAACATTACATCATAAAACAGAAGAATACACGTTCTTTTCAAGTGCACGTGGAACCTTCTCCAGAATAAATCACATTGTAGGCCACAAAACAAGTCTCAACAAATTAAAAAAAGATTGAAATCATATCATGCATTTTTTTCTGACCACAATGGTATGAAACTAGAAACCAATCATAAGAAAAAATCTGGAAAGAACACACATACATGGAGATTAAATAATATGCTACTGAACAATAAATGAGTCAACCAAGAAATCAAAGTGGAAATAAAAAGATTACATGGAGAGAAATGAAAATAAAGATCTGAAATCTTTGGGATGCAGCAAAAACTGTTCTAAGAGGAAAGATCATAGCAATATAGGCCTACCTCAAGAAGCAAGAAAAATCTCAAACAACCTAACCTTACACCTAAAGGAGCTAGAAAAAGAAGAACAAAACCCAAAGTCAGTAGAAGAAAGCAAACAATAAGGGTTAGAAATAAATAGAAACTAAAGAAACAATAGAACAGATTAATGAAACCAGGAGCTGTTTTTTGGAAAAGATCAAGGAAATTGATAAACCTTTATCCAGAGTCACCAGAGAGAGGGAGAGAGAGAGGACTCAAATAAATAGAAATTAAACAAAAGAAATAACAACTGACATCATAGAAATTGTAAGAAATTATACACCACAAAGGATTATAAGAGAATATTATAGAAAATATATGCCAACAAATTGTATAACCTAGAAGAAATGGAGAAATTACTAGGAAGATATTACCTCCGAAAACTGAATCAGGAAGAAATAGAACATTTGAACAGACAAATTACTGGCAATACAATTGAATCCATAATTATATAGAGAAAAAACTGATGGTTACTAGAGGAGAGGTGGGCAGGGGGATGGGTTGAGTGGGTGATGGGGATTAGGAAGGGCACTTGTGATGAGCACTGAGTGTTATATGTAAGTGTTGCCTCACTAAATTCAACACATGAAACTAATACTACACTGGATGTTAACCAACTAGAATTTAAATGAAAACTAGGGAAAAAAAAGAACTCCCCCCCCCCCCCCAAAAAAAGTCCAGGACTAAATGGCTCCACAGGTGAGTTCTACTAAACATTTGCAGAAGAGTGAATGCCTATTCTTAAAATTTTCAAAAAATAGAAGAGGAAGGAAAACTTCCAAATTCATTCAATGTGTCCAGTATTACCCTGAACCAAAACCAGATAAAAATACTACAAAAAAAGAGAACTACTGGCCAATATCTCTGACTAACATAGAGACAAAAATCCTGAACAAAATATTGGCAAATTGAAAGCAACAAAATATTACAAAAGTCATTCACCACAATCAAGTGGGATTTATTGCTGGATTGCAAAGGTGATTCAATATTCACAATTCAATCAGTGTGATACATCACATCAATAAGAGAAAGGATTAAAACCATATGATCTTCTCAATAGATGCAGAAAAGCATTTGACAAAGTACAACATCCATTCATGATAAAAACCCTCAATGGAGTAGGTTTAGAGCGAACATACTTCAACATAATGAAGGCCATATATGAAAAACCCACACCTAACATCATATTCAGTGGTGAAAAACTAAGAGCTTTTCCCCTAAGATCAGGAACAAGACAAAGATGTCCACTTTCACCACTTTTATTCAACACAGTATTGGAAGTCCCAGCCACAACAATCAGACAAGAAAAGAAAAGTCACTCAAATTGGTAAGGAAGAAGTAAAATTTTCACTATGTTCAGATGATGTGAAACTACATATAGAAAATCCTCAAGACTACACCCAAAAACTACTGGAACTGATAAATGAATTCAGTAAAGTCATAGGACACAAAATTAACATACAGAAGTCTGTTGCATTTCTATACACTAACAATGAAGTAGAAAGAGAAGTTAAGAAAGAAATCCCATTTATAATTGTACTAAATAGAATACCTGCTAATAAACTTAACCAAAAAGACCTATACTCTGAAAACTATAAAACATTGATAACAACAATTGAAGACAATACAAACAAATGGAAAGATATTTCTGCTCATGGTTTGGAATAACCAATATTTTTTAAGTGTCCATACTAGCCAAAGAAATCTACAGATTTAATGCAATTCTTACCAAAATGCCAACAACACTTTCTATAGAACTAGAACAAATAATCCTAATATTTGTATGGAATTACAAAAGACCCCAAATAGCCAAGGCAATTTTGAAAAAGAAGAACAAAACACAATCCCAGATTTCAAGATATAGTACAAAGCTGTAGCCATAAAAACAGTGTGCTGCTTGCACAGAAATGGACAAATAGATCAATGGAACAGAACAGAATCCAGAAATATACCCACACCTTTATGGTCAGTTAATCTATGACAAAGAAGGCAAGAATATGCAGTGGGAAGAAGTTGATCTCATCAATAAATGGTGTTGAGAAAACTGGACAACTATATGCAAAAGAATGAAACTGGACCACTTTTTAACACCATATACAAAAGTAAACTAAAATGGATTAAATGTGAGACCTGAAACTATAAAATTCCTAGAAGAAAACATAGACAGTAATTTCTTTGACATCATGTATAGAAATCAGCCATTTTTATAGATATGTTTCCTCTGGCAAGGGAAACAAAGGAAAATTAAACTATTGGGACCACATCAAAATTAGTTTTTTGCTCAGTGAAGGAAACCATCAACAAAACAAAAAGGCAACATACTGAATGGGAAAAGATATTGGCAAAGGATATAGTTGATAAGGGATTAATAACACAACTCAACACCAAAAAAACCAGGCTTATTCATGAGCAGAGGACATGAATAGACATTTTTCCAAAGAAGACATACAGATGGCCAATAGACATGTGACATACTCAGCATCACTCATCATCAGGGAAATGCAAATCAAAACCACAATGATATATCACCTTACACTTGTCAGAATGGCTCAAACAAGAAACATAAGAAATAACAAGTGTTGGCAAGTATGTGGAATGAAAGGAACCCTCATACACTTTTGGTGGGAATGGAAATTGATGCAGCCATTGTGGAAAGAGTATAGAGCTTCCTCAAAAAATTAATTATAGAATTACCATATGATCCAGTAATTTTACCACTGCATATTTACCCAAAGAAAATGAAAACACTAATTGGAAAAAGTGTATTCACCCCTATGTTTATTGTGCCATTATTTACAATAGCTAAGATATGGAAGCAACCCAAGTGTTCATCCATAGATCAATGGATAAAAAAGATGTGTGTGTGTGTGTGTACTCATATATGTGTGTGTGTATACACACAAAGTGAGTATATGTATAAATATATATGTATACCCACATACAATGGAATATTACTCAGCTATAAAAAGTGAAATCTTGCTATTTGCAACAATATGGATGAATGTACAGGTATAATGCTAAGTGAGATGTCAGCCAGAGAAAGACAAATACCATATGATTTCATTCATATGTGGAATTTAAGAAACAAAACAGTCAAGAAAAAAAGGACAAAAAAAACAGACTCTTAACTATAGAGAACAATGTAATGGTTACCAGAATGGAGTTGGTGGGGGGACGGGTGAAATAGGTGAAGGGGATGAAGAGTACACTTATTGGGATGAGCGCCGAATAACATATAGAATTGTTGAATCATTATATTGTACACCTGAAACTAAAATAACACTATGTTAATTATACTTGAATAAAAAAACGCATCCATGTATTCCATCATCCCAATTTTATAGTTTAAAAGCAATAGGTTACTATCTACCTCTTGCAGTAGCAAAGTTGAAAGAAGCAATTTAAGAGAATATTTTATCTTCTACTTATGTCATTTATTTTGGTTCTC